CATTGTCATCTATTGTAAAGCTGCAGTAATACGTTTAGCAGACAGATGTTCACATCCATTTATAGTAAAGGAGGGAGCAAGAGCACTACACCACAAAAATATGAGACAACACGGAACACCTTATTGCATTATTATTTTTCAAAAAATATATTGTACTAATTTTGACGTTTAAGTACTTTAGAAAATGTATTGTAAAATATTTGTATGAAATATAGGTTTGTTAGTCTTGGGTATTAAAGTGATTTTTGCAATGAGGTGGAGACCGTTCTGTTCATAACAGTAGACCCGCTGGTAAAGAAGTGATGGGTACTAGAAAAATAGCCAAAATTATAATAATAATAATAAAGTACACACATAAACAGAAGTGAGAAAATGAAGAAACAGAAAAGGGAAGTGAAGGTGCTGTTCAAGAGAGAAGCTTTAATTATTTTGCAAGGATTTAGACTTTTTTTTTATGTGATGGCCATACAAATAATAGGGCTGTCTGTAGTTTGAAAAACTGTTGTGGGTGTATAGCAGGAGTGTCCAAACTCAGTCCTGGAGGCCCACTGTCCAGGAGAGTTCAGCTCCAGCCCTAATCAAACACACCTGACCCAGCTAACCAAGACCTTACGAGGCATACTAGACACCTGCAGGCAGGTGTGTTGAGGAAAGCTGGAGCTAAACTCATCCGGGCAGTGGCCCTCCTGGACCGAGTTTGGACACCCCTGCTGTATAGGATGGCCTGGATGAGTGGGAGGTTTCCCGGCCTGCAAAGGCTCATAAAATATAACACTGTGGCTTGGCTTGATACACAGTCTAATGGTCCAACGAAATCTAATTTTACTGCACCAATTTTTTATGGCCCTTATATTTCCTATTTGACCCAATGCAAATGAACGATGTTATTTCAGGACGAGACCGCCCTGATTGTAAAGCAAAACACCTGATTGTAGAATGTGCTGCGATTGGTCAGCGAAGGTGACTGTTATCTGATTGGCTTGAGCAGACGGTGGGTGGAGTCACGCATTTGTGGATCATCAGCGACGCTAGAAATGTTTCAGAACCCACAAATGCACAGGACGCTAGTCACAAATAAATGCCAGGCAACCTGTGTTTGTAGTATATAATATAGTTGTGAATGTTTTCTATTTGCAAATCTCATTTTATTTATTTGTGAAGTTAATTCATGTTTGTGAAACTCTGATATTTACTTGTGGATCTCATTCTGTTTTTTTGTGAATATGATTATTTCTTGTTAATCTCTTTAACCTTTATTTGTGGATCATAATCTATTTATTTGGAATAATGCAACAAAAATATCTCCATGTCTTTAAGACCTGCACAAATAAAACTAAAGCTTGTATGTGCGGAGCAGGTCACGGTCTATGGTATCAGTCCCCATTGACTTGCAAAGTGGTTTTCTTTTGTTTGTTTTTCCATACTTTGGAAGTCAATGGAGACCAGCAACTGAAGGTGAACTATCCCTTTAAACCATAAAATGACTGTAAAAAGCATGATTTACAGTTCAGATACAGGTTTTCACAAAAACGAAAAGTCTTATAAAATGATAAACATCACATTTCAGCCTTTAAACCATTTTTAAGAAAAGAGATGAGTGAAATGTATAAATTATTACATTAAATTAAAGCATAAGCATATATCTTACTGTCTTAATTGTTTAGACTTTTAGAAGGCACATGAACTTATTTTACATTTACAACTGCACTGGTCTGAACAAGAACAGCAGACGGGCTTATTGAAAATGCACCTTGATTCTCTGCCAGCAGGTGGCGCTGTTGGAGCGGCAGAATATAGTGGTTTCCCCGGTAACCGCAGTAATCAAAGCAGCGCTGTGCTTGCAGGTAAGATGGAATGAGAATGCCATCGAAACTCGATGATTCTGATTGGCCGATTGCACTGATGGCTCAACAGACATGCCTGTGTTGGATATAGTGCTCAACCCTGCAAACACTCTGTGAGCGACACTTACGCTGCACATGTACCTGAGCCATGATTCGTTTTGTGCAGTGTAGAATTGATCTATCGGTAAGCCCCGCCCCCCTTAGTTACTGTTGCTACCTCGGACAAGCAGGCGGAGCTGCTCACTGTCTCACAATGAGAGCGGTCAGTGTGAAAAGCTTGTCCCTATATCTTTTGGATAAATTTTGGACACAGAAGGACCACCATTCAAGTGGGACTTGAATATGCCATGGAAGGATATATAAAAGATTTAAAAACAAATATTGTGGGTATTAATTTGAAAGCGAGGGTTTACAGATCACAATGCAAGCGGGAGAAGCCTCATGTTACGTTCGTCACGATCGCAGATAACAACATCCCGGATCAACACTGTTCATGTATCGCAGGGTACGATTAAATTACTTTACATTTAACCAATATGAAGAGACAGTGATATGTAGACCTTCGTTTATGTGTTTTTGCCCTACACTGTACAAGACGTGAGAACAGTCCGCTATTTAGGTTTGTGTGGACTCACTAACTTTAACGTTAAGCCAGAGATAGCTTGCTGAAGCACAAGATGACATTAACGTTCTGCTTGAGCAGATGAAAAGTGTAACTTAATGAGAGTATGACAACCAGAAAATGAACGTTTGTGTCTTCATTGGGATTGGGGGTGAATGCTATGGGACATTTTGCTCCATTTTGTTTGGGTTTAGGAAATATAATAAAATAAATCCAATTGCCTGTTCTCTCAGGATGCCTGGAATCACTGTTACAAGTACCCCAGGCACATCGTTTCTCCATTTCTGTAGCATAAACACTATTAAACTGATGCAAGCTTCGGATCTTCCAGTGTTTCTCTATGCCGCTGAAACCTACAGATGTCCGAGTTCAGCTCCCCATGCAACTGATACTCGACTGCCATTGGCTCATCTGCGTTCGAGGGGAGGGGCTTACCGATAGGTCAATTGCACCAGTTGCGTGCAGATGTGTTCTCAGATGTGAAAACGCTTGCATTCAGGTTGAACATTGTATTGGCCTGTAACTCAGTGCAGATATCAGACTGGAGAAGTGAGTGTTTGTGTGCTCATATGGAGGTGTAAATGCATGTGTGTGTCTGACAGGGTTTGCAGATCTGAGGTGTCCTGATAACGTCAGCATGGACTCACTCAACACTCGTTACGTGCTGCGGTGGGACTGGCCTCACGAGAGCGCCGTCAACCAGACGGTCACCTTCACTGCGCAGTATCTAGCGTAAGAGCCTTCATATGCACGTGACCTATGTGACTGAATCAGCTCAACTGTGAACCTGGAGCACAAAACCAGTCATAAGGGTCAATTTTTCAAAATTGAGATGTATACATCATCTGAAGCTGAATAAATAAGCTTTCCATTGATGTATGGTTTGTTAGGATAGGACAATATTTGGCTGAGATACAACTATTTGAAAATCTGGAATCTCCTGAAATCATCTTTAAAGTTGTTCAAATGAAGTTCTTAGCAATGCATATTACTAATCAAACATTAAGTTTTGATATATTTACGGTAGGAGATTCACAAAATATCTTCATGGAACATGATCTTTACTTAATATCCTAATGATTTTTGTCATAAAAGAGAAATGTATAATTGTGACCCATACAATGTATTGTTGGCTATTGCTACAAATATCCCCCAGCGACTTAACACTGCTTTTGTGCTGCAGGGTCACATATGTATTTAGCATAATGTTATATTAATTATATTTATAAATTACTGTATATCCATACAAATAATAGGGCTGTCTGTAGTTTGAAAAACTGTTGTGGGTGTATAGCAGGAGTGTCCAAACTCAGTCCTGGAGGCCCACTGTCCAGGAGAGTTCAGCTCCAGCCCTAATCAAACACACCTGACCCAGCTAACCAAGACCTTACGAGGCATACTAGACACCTGCAGGCAGGTGTGTTGAGGAAAGCTGGAGCTAAACTCATCCGGGCAGTGGCCCTCCTGGACCGAGTTTGGACACCCCTGCTGTATAGGATGGCCTGGATGAGTGGGAGGTTTCCCGGCCTGCAAAGGCTCATAAAATATAACACTGTGGCTTGGCTTGATACACAGTCTAATGGTCCAACGAAATCTAATTTTACTGCACCAATTTTTTATGGCCCTTATATTTCCTGTTTGACCCAATGCAAATGAACGATGTTATTTCAGGACGAGACCGCCCTGATTGTAAAGCAAAACACCTGATTGTAGAATGTGCTGCGATTGGTCAGCGAAGGTGACTGTTATCTGATTGGCTTGAGCAGACGGTGGGTGGAGTCACGCATTTGTGGATCATCAGCGACGCTAGAAATGTTTCAGAACCCACAAATGCACAGGACGCTAGTCACAAATAAATGCCAGGCAACCTGTGTTTGTAGTATATAATATAGTTGTGAATGTTTTCTATTTGCAAATCTCATTTTATTTATTTGTGAAGTTAATTCATGTTTGTGAAACTCTGATATTTACTTGTGGATCTCATTCTGTTTATTTGTGAATATGATTATTTCTTGTTAATCTCTTTAACCTTTATTTGTGGATCATAATCTATTTATTTGGAATAATGCAACAAAAATATCTCCATGTCTTTAAGACCTGCACAAATAAAACTAAAGCTTGTATGTGCGGAGCAGGTCACGGTCTATGGTATCAGTCCCCAATGACTTGCAAAGTGGTTTTCTTTTGTTTGTTTTTCCATACTTTGGAAGTCAATGGAGACCAGCAACTGAAGATGAACTATCCCTTTAAACCATAAAATGACTGTAAAAAGCATGATTTACAGTTCAGATACAGGTTTTCACAAAAACGAAAAGTCTTATAAAATGATAAACATCACATTTCAGCCTTTAAACCATTTTTAAGAAAAGAGATGAGTGAAATGTATAAATTATTACATTAAATTAAAGCATAAGCATATATCTTACTGTCTTAATTGTTTAGACTTTTAGAAGGCACATGAACTTATTTTACATTTACAACTGCACTGGTCTGAACAAGAACAGCAGACGGGCTTATTGAAAATGCACCTTGATTCTCTGCCAGCAGGTGGCGCTGTTGGAGCGGCAGAATATAGTGGTTTCCCCGGTAACCGCAGTAATCAAAGCAGCGCTGTGCTTGCAGGTAAGATGGAATGAGAATGCCATCGAAACTCGATGATTCTGATTGGCCGATTGCACTGATGGCTCAACAGACATGCCTGTGTTGGATATAGTGCTCAACCCTGCAAACACTCTGTGAGCGACACTTACGCTGCACATGTACCTGAGCCATGATTCGTTTTGTGCAGTGTAGAATTGATCTATCGGTAAGCCCCGCCCCCCTTAGTTACTGTTGCTACCTCGGACAAGCAGGCGGAGCTGCTCACTGTCTCACAATGAGAGCGGTCAGTGTGAAAAGCTTGTCCCTATATCTTTTGGATAAATTTTGGACACAGAAGGACCACCATTCAAGTGGGACTTGAATATGCCATGGAAGGATATATAAAAGATTTAAAAACAAATATTGTGGGTATTAATTTGAAAGCGAGGGTTTACAGATCACAATGCAAGCGGGAGAAGCCTCATGTTACGTTCGTCACGATCGCAGATAACAACATCCCGGATCAACACTGTTCATGTATCGCAGGGTACGATTAAATTACTTTACATTTAACCAATATGAAGAGACAGTGATATGTAGACCTTCGTTTATGTGTTTTTGCCCTACACTGTACAAGACGTGAGAACAGTCCGCTATTTAGGTTTGTGTGGACTCACTAACTTTAACGTTAAGCCAGAGATAGCTTGCTGAAGCACAAGATGACATTAACGTTCTGCTTGAGCAGATGAAAAGTGTAACTTAATGAGAGTATGACAACCAGAAAATGAACGTTTGTGTCTTCATTGGGATTGGGGGTGAATGCTATGGGACATTTTGCTCCATTTTGTTTGGGTTTAGGAAATATAATAAAATAAATCCAATTGCCTGTTCTCTCAGGATGCCTGGAATCACTGTTACAAGTACCCCAGGCACATCGTTTCTCCATTTCTGTAGCATAAACACTATTAAACTGATGCAAGCTTCGGATCTTCCAGTGTTTCTCTATGCCGCTGAAACCTACAGATGTCCGAGTTCAGCTCCCCATGCAACTGATACTCGACTGCCATTGGCTCATCTGCGTTCGAGGGGAGGGGCTTACCGATAGGTCAATTGCACCAGTTGCGTGCAGATGTGTTCTCAGATGTGAAAACGCTTGCATTCAGGTTGAACATTGTATTGGCCTGTAACTCAGTGCAGATATCAGACTGGAGAAGTGAGTGTTTGTGTGCTCATATGGAGGTGTAAATGCATGTGTGTGTCTGACAGGGTTTGCAGATCTGAGGTGTCCTGATAACGTCAGCATGGACTCACTCAACACTCGTTACGTGCTGCGGTGGGACTGGCCTCACGAGAGCGCCGTCAACCAGACGGTCACCTTCACTGCGCAGTATCTAGCGTAAGAGCCTTCATATGCACGTGACCTATGTGACTGAATCAGCTCAACTGTGAACCTGGAGCACAAAACCAGTCATAAGGGTCAATTTTTCAAAATTGAGATGTATACATCATCTGAAGCTGAATAAATAAGCTTTCCATTGATGTATGGTTTGTTAGGATAGGACAATATTTGGCTGAGATACAACTATTTGAAAATCTGGAATCTCCTGAAATCATCTTTAAAGTTGTTCAAATGAAGTTCTTAGCAATGCATATTACTAATCAAACATTAAGTTTTGATATATTTACGGTAGGAGATTCACAAAATATCTTCATGGAACATGATCTTTACTTAATATCCTAATGATTTTTGTCATAAAAGAGAAATGTATAATTGTGACCCATACAATGTATTGTTGGCTATTGCTACAAATATCCCCCAGCGACTTAACACTGCTTTTGTGCTGCAGGGTCACATATGTATTTAGCATAATGTTATATTAATTATATTTATAAATTACTGTATATTCAGCCTACAATGTTTCTTGAATATCGACAATCTTTTCCTCCAGAAGTCTCATTATCGTGATCTGTGCAGATGTTTTGTTTTTATTCTCACTGTTCTCCATGGTGTGCATTT